AGATTTACTGAGAGTGACTTGTCAATCACAAGGCAGCCCTAAAGCATACCCTGCTTTATGGTCTATTTTATTCTGAATTGGACCATCGTTTACTAAATGAACATCATACTGTATGGAAGAAGATTTGAAACTAGAGATTGAGACCATAAACTCATTAGCTAACTGTTTACTGGGCTCATTTCTGCATGGTATCAGTGTGTTGTTGCAGCCAACGTAGCTCCCCCTGCTGGCCTTTACAGAGAATGTAGGTTTAAGACACTTTTGGTGTTGCCTTTACTTCACAGACCCGGAAGCCTGGAAGTATATATACTGTCAATTGTTGGTACCTCAGGACATTCTGAAGTAACAAAACAACACAACATGAAAAGAGACTTGCTCTGCGAGGAGATCTGCTCCAGCAGTGTGCTGGAAATGTAAGAAACATAAGTTGACACTATGCTGTGAAGCTAAGATGTTTTTTTTACTGTCCCAAGCATGTCATCTTATAGAGAGAGAGAGAGAGTGAGAGACAGTGAGAGAGAGAGAGAGAAAGAGAGAGAGAGAGAGAGAGAGAGCTCTGTGCTGGAAGGAATGACATCTGTAAAAAGATGTTTCACACAGTACAGTAACTGGTTGACTACTATATAGTTAAAATATTAGTTTCAGTTCCAGTGTGGCTTTCAAATTTCAATTACATTTCTTGAAAAACATGCAATAAAAACAAACCTGGAAGCAAGAAAAACTCATTTCATAGACATGAAGTTTTTGAAGCAATACCAGGCATTTTGAACAATGACCTCTCTGACTGGTTCTTTTCCACAGTAGACACTGTCATTGCAAGGGGACATTCCTTGCTGTTGTTTTTTTGTACTGCTTGTCCCCAACATGTCAGCCTGAGGGGACAATTTCGGAGCTGACATTTTGGGGTCAGTGTGCAAATTTCCTGAGATAAAAGCCCTCAAAAGTCGATTTTCAAAGAACAAAGTGTGCTTGCTGTGATCTGCCCACTGCTTAAATATTAATCTTAAATAAAAGCCAATCCCTGATGATCTGCTCCGGAGCAGCCACACTACACATACACCTCCTGGAAAGCCAGTGTAAATAGCAGGAATAGAAGCTACTGTATTGTGTGTCTGTATGTCTGTGTTTAGGTTCACATCCTTGGTTGCAGATGCTATTTTTAGTCTACCAGCCCTCTGCTCTGTCATGACCAACCTCATTGGATAGACTGAGTGCCTTATTATAACAACACTGCCAGCTATTCTCAGCCATTTGGCTGAAACACAGTGTAATTTGACATAAAAAGTAGGATCCTGTCTATGTAGCAGACACCTTGATATTATGGAGGTAGCTTAGTGTAGCTTGAAATGTCTGTATGTATAGGGGATATTAGAAAATATTAAAAAAATATTGCATCACAATATTTTGTTTTGTGCTATTGTACAAAACTGCTGTATTTATTATCAAAAGCACTGTATCGAATTCCCAAACAATATAGCAGTGTTCCAAAGTTTAACTGAGGGCTATAAAGTTGCAGATCCCACTGGTTGCCTAAAACTCATACATTTTTACCTTGTCTTCTGTATCACAATATATCGCAATGTGCAATATGCAAATTATGGAAGCTGTAATTTTTTGAAAAGGATCAAATATGTGACAAATAGCATTATAATGAAGTACTCTAGGGCTTTGAGATGCCCTGGCCTTCAAATATTGTTCTCCAAATCTATGTATTTGTTTGGTATAACCCCCCCAAAAATTATCACAATTTTTAATAATAATAATAATTTGTGATGCAAAAATGATCATTCCCAATAATCGTGAATCATATCACAATTGGAATATCTGTAAAAAATAATTGGTTTTTACCATATCGTGCAGCCCTAATCAATATACATTGAATCGTAACTCCTATATTGTGATCAATTCATATCGCCAGATTTGTGCCAATACACAGCCCTAGTATGTATAGATGAGGAATATTTCTCAAAACAGTGGTGACCTTGTAGTCTATATTTATTTGGTGTTGTGCTAAATGTATTGATTAGTCACTTGACTGGACTTAAATGTATTACTACATGTTATTAAAGTCGTTTCCAAGAAAGAAATGATTAAATATTTGCTGGTTATTTTCAGGCAAATTTGACAATGCCACCTTGGAACTTAATAAGCTTTTATTTTTTATTTATGTTTGCAGACATTTCATTAATTAGAAAAAACACAATCAATAGATTAATCAAGAACTGGAGTTACTCTTAAAAAGGTAGAAATGGTGAATTGGTTGACCTTATTTCAAATACTACACTCCTGCTGAGATACTGTGCACTTTGCAAAGCTCACCTACTTTAAGACTTGTAATTGTACATCAATATCTTGAGCGGCTTTCACAGATGCAGTTATACCTAAGAGTTCTTTTAAGACACTTCTTAAAATCAGACACTTCTTAAAATCAGACTTTTCAATAACACAACCTTTTTGTTCCATAAGCTTAATCCATATCTGCCAACTCTTGTTTTAAAATTCTAAGAGCCTCCCTGTTCCTCATCTTTAGGTGTGACATTTTGTGAATTCCTTTATGACTTTATGTGATCTTTACAGTCACATAGATGCATCTGTGGCGAGCACATCAGCGACTGGATGAAATACTCACAGTGAATAGGGTGAGGATTATAAGGTGGAAGAACCACCTGAGGTCAGGACTCCATCTTCACACTTCTGCAGTGCCTGGGGCTCAGAACACATCCTCACTGTCACAACCTCCTGTGGGAAGACAGACAGAGTACAAGCAATCAATTACTGTCTATGCACTCAACTGGCACACTGCATACTATATTGAAGTCACAGTTGCATCCCTTTTTAGAGCATACCACAAACTTCTGTCTGCGCAAGAGGTTAAAAGTTCACAACACTGTACATCGATCTCGAAGCAAATCCTCTCTTTTGCTTTTGGCATAGACTGTACAACTCCAGACCCTTGAGCCACAGAATGAAATGACAAACTAAAAACACATTTGTACACAGTGTACAGCCTTGGGAAATTGTGCATACTAATCTTAACACATCTGCCTTAATCAGAGAGGCTAGTGAAGTTATGGGTATGGTTTGTGCTACTTAGTGGTTATGCACATGCACATTGGTTAGGGTTAGGGTTGGGGCTAGGCTCCTACTATGCTATAGAATAAAACCACAGCATTTTTGAAGAAGGCAGCCTAAATCGACAGATTCCAAAATACAAAGCATCATTGCTAACAAAGCTCTTATCAAACCATGTAACTCTCCTTCATCTTATTTTAGCATAGAACAATGTACAAAATGTTAGGATTAGTTTGAAGTTTTAGCAAAGCTAAAATTTTTAGCTAGCACTGAACGTTTTGCCATCCCAGTTTTAGCTGAAGCTAATATAAGGCTTCATGAATCTCAATCAGTCTCAATTAACCAAAATTGAGGGTGGCTCAGGTTAGGGATGGGCAATATGGACTAAAAAATGTATCCCGATAATTTCTGGTATTTATCACGGTAACGATAAAAATGACGATAAATAAACACCAATTCAGC